TGCCCTTCCTGTGCTCTGTTTACTAGTTTGGGGTAAGGGAAGTTCCTTCATTTGTTTTTCCATGGAATTTCAATGATTGATAGACTGTGTTTTAATGATAACAAAATAACATTGCTCTCAGCTACCAGCCCACCATTTGTTATGGCTGGAACCTTAAAATGTCCCCACAAGCTCATGTGTTGAAAGTTTGTTTCCCTATTTTTGGGAGGTGGTGGGAACTTCCGGAGGTGGGACCCAATTGTAGGAGGCAACTCATTGGGACATACCCTTAAAGAGGATCTTGGGATTCTGGTCATCTTCCCTGATCCCAGCTGTGCTGTCCACAATGAGGTAAGTAGCCTCCTCCACCAAGCCTTTCTGCCTTGTTATTCTGCCTTACCACAGGCCCCAAAACATCCCAGCCAGATGACCATGGACAGGGAACTGAGATAAATCTCCTTTTAAGTAGATTTTTTTTCAACTATGCTATCAAACAGTGGAAAGCAGACCAACAAATTATTTCTCTTGGTTTTCAAATAGAGGGAAAAACAAGTAACTGTGTTTTTCCTAATAGGAAACAAATTATTGGAAAACAAATGAAATGATTCATCATATCCACATGTAGCTATGTGGTGATAATTATAACAATATTCTCAGCTTCCTTTGACTTTCCTTTCCTCCCCTCCTGCTGTTCTTCCTCCCTTTAATGCTTATTGGGCCTTTCTTTTAGCTGTCAGGATTTCTTTAACATAGCGTTTGTCATTGGAGGGCCTTTTTCTCGCTGAAATTGAAAAAAAAAACCTAAATTCATTAAATGAGCTTAAATGTAGAGGTTTACAGGTTTACCTGTTTCAAAGATCAAGACTATATCCATATGGCACATGGGTAGCTAGATCTGGGGGCAGAATAATGTGACTAAACTCTGCCGAAATTGTAGTCCACTTTATGTCTATGCTGTCTTTTGCTTATTAATTGATGAGCATTTGGGTTAATATCCACTCTTTGGCTATTTTGAATAAAACTCCTATGAATATCCATTTATAAGAGTTTGTGTGGAGATCGAACACCCCCACCCCCTTCCCCAGGAATATTCCTAGGAATAGAATTCCTGCCATTTGGTGACTCTACATTTAGCATTTACAGAGCTGGGAAAGTCAGTGTTGAAGGCATCTCCAGGATGCCTATCAATAAATATCATGATGCAGAAGTCAAACATTGCTCTGGCTCTTTTTCCTTTTACCACAGGGAACAATCTTTTCTCCATCTTTCTTAAATGTTGCTGACTTCATTTCTTTTCTGTTGCTCTGATGAAACACCATGACCAAGGCAGCTTTTAAAAGAAAAAGTTGATTGGATTTACAGTTCCAGGAGGTTAGCGTCGATGATGGTGGAGTGGAGGTAGCAGCGGGGAGGTGTGGTGGTTGGAGCAGCAGCTAAGGGCTCACATCTTGGACCACAATGACGGAGATTTGTCCTGACTGTGGGCCAGGCAGGAAAACTCTAGCTACAAATGGTGTCCAACGTGGTGGCAAGAGTTTCCACCTAAAAACTGAGAAAAAAAGATTCTAAAATGGAGCTAAAAACAGCTTCCTAATTGTCTCTCTCAAATGAGCAGCAGCTGCCGGTTTGAGCTACTTGTGGGTTCCTAGAATGCGTGCTCATCCTGCAGTATGGCGGGAATGAGGCCTCTGCAAGTGGTACACTAAGCTGCATGGTGGATTTAGCCTTTGATAGTACAAAATAAAAAAAGAGGTTTCTGGGCTACACACTGCTTGGATAAAAGCATAGACCCACGATAGCTCCCAGAGCTGGTGGTAAACTACCACAGCCATGTTGGGAAGCTGAGGTGGGCGGAGCCAGCAGCCACATCTGCTGCAGTTTAAAGCAATAGATTCACAATAAGACAGATTCAGATGTAATAGTTTACAATGTGTGTAAAATATACGCAGGCTTGAAAGAGACAAAAAAGGTGATATATACAGTTATATAAACAAATACATAGTTTAAAAAAATAGTCTTCAAAGAGACAGTAAAATTAATATAGAAAATAAGCCACATAAAGATGAATATTACACAGAGAATCTGGATTGTGTTGTCTTTGGGATTTTTAACTGCAGAAAAACATTTGATTGTAAAAGCTGTTGAGTTATGCCAAAATGTATATTTTAAAGATACCTTGACTTCAAAATTTGGATATAAGGATATGTTGCTTTGGAAAGGAGACTCTGCTTTTGTTCCCACAGAAAGCCAAAGGCTATGGACTTGTTCCAGATTAAGATACATCAGGTTTGACCAGCCAAGACCCCCTGAAAGGTTTCCGATGACACCATGGCCTAGATGATCCAACATCCAGAATGGTTTCAAGGCAATTGGCTCAGATGATACAGCCTCACGGACTATTCCATAATCCTAAAATTTTCTTTGTGTCCCCATAAGATACAGCGCCCCTCTCCAGCAGGAAGTAGTAAGAGAAACTATGCCCAAATTCCCAAATTATATATAATTTTACTTTGTTAAGGTTAAAACCTTCCTTTTTGAAAAAAAAAAGGGGGGGGGGGGAAGTGCTGTGGGATGTTCTGTATGGTAAATGTGTTGCTGATTGGTCAATAAATAAAACACTGATTGGCCATTGGCTAGGCAGGAAGTATAGGCGGGACAAGGAGGAGAATAAATCTGGGAAGTGGAAGGCTAAGAGAGACACTGCCAGCGGCCACTATGAGAAACAGCATGTGAAGATGCCAGTAAGCCACGAGCCATGTGGCAAGGTATAGATTTATAGAAATGGATTAATTTAAGCTGTAAGAACAGTTAGCAAGAAGCCTGCCACAGCCATACAGTTTGTAAGCAATATAAGTCTCTGTGTTTACTTGGTCAGGTCTGAGCGGCTGTGGGACTGGCAGGTGATAGAGATTTGTCCTGACTGTGGGCCAGGCAGGAAAACTTTAGCTACACCACAAGAATGAAGCAGGGAAGGAAACTGAAAGTGGCTGAGTCTTTAAACTCTCAAAGCCTACCTCCAATGACACACCTCCTCCAACAAGGCCATACCTCCTAAGCCTTCCTAAGGCCACCAACTGGAGACCAAGTATTGAATGCCGGAGATGACAGGACATGTTTTCATTCAAACCACCACAGCTTCTGTACACTAAAGCTTGTTAGAATTGAAGCAGAATGGGCTAGGGGGGAGGTCACCTTGGTCCCTCAACCTACACCAGACAACCTTTGTTGGGGAAGAACAAATTGTTGCAAAACAAACACCAGGCTAATGGAAATACAAAACAAAATAACATTCTGTGATTCTAATTTGTGTCTTTCAGGGTTGGCTCAAGGAATACTCTAGGTTCTCCAAGAAGAAAAGAATTTGACAGAGGGATGAAGAACTTGTCTGCCATGACAGGGGCTTGAGTAGAGCAAAGACGTGAGTGCTAGACTCCTTGTTTTAAGAAGGCACATCCATGTTTTTTTGATCCAGAAATAAGCGAGATCACCCAGGAGTGAGTAATTGGGCATCATGCTAGTAATGCTCGAAAACACAGAAGTGTTAAGTGAGGTAAGGGGGAATTGAAGGAATGAGGGAAGATGGGGGTGGGGGAGAAGTAGGGGGTGTGGAATGCAAGGTAGGGGGAGACTGGGGGGGTGAGGGGAGTGGAGGGATCAGAGTTCAGAGGCTACCAACTCATGTTTGCCCTTGACACCCCTTTCTCCTCAGTACCACAAAAAGAATGACTCCTTCAATTATTGTCTTCCAAACTCCATGCAGGTACACATCAAGTGTGGAACCTAAGCTGTGTGAAGAGTCCATCACCCCAGCTGTGCAGAGCAGGATAGGATATGACAGTGTTTGAAAGGGTAACCCAGTGCCGGTGGACAACATCTAATCAATCTTGAAATCATATACTCTCAATTGCCGCGAGGGCATAAATACTTTACATTTATCTGTGGCAATATTATTTAAGGGTGTTCCTAGGAAGTGTCAGAACAAAACACAGGTTCTGAAGTCAGTCAGCATCCCTCCTGCCCCATTTGTCTCATCCCCACCACTAAGCTTGTTTCCCCATTTCTTTTAAAGCCATTTGTTGACTGCAGACCACTATCAGTATGGCACTGGAGTATGAGCTTGGGGCATATTGTGTAAACAAAGAGAAAGCCAAATTTTTTTTATTGTGCACATATGCCCCCAACTGTCATCAAACTAATTCCAAATTTTCCAAATAAATTTCTAAATGGAACATATGGGAAGACAGGAATTCTGTCTGTTCTGCCGCTTGGACTGCCATTGTGATCTATCAGGCATCAAGGGCCATAGTCAACATACCCGGCCACCAGCTTCTATGAAACTGATGTGTTTTATCCAGTCACACACATCAATTATGATTTTTGTTTATTAATTTAGTGTGTGTGTGTGTGTGTGTGTGTGTGTGTGTGTGCGCGCATGCTCATGGGCACACACACCACAGCACATGTCTGAAGGTCAGAGGATAGTCTGCAGGTATCAGTCCTTTCCTCCTGCCCTGTGGAACCTTTAGGTGGAATGCAGGCTGGCAGGCTGAGCCATCTCATTGGCCTACATATATACATTGTATCAGCGGTTTTCTATATGGGTTTGGATTTAAAGACTTGTAGGTTAAATTTCTATATAAGAAGGCATATCTTTAGATATGCATCTATGCTGGAGACAACCTAGACTTTCTCCATTTTCACACATTTGTTGCTAGAGAGGGCAAAACTAAATTTTAAGTCCTTTTACTTTTATAGTATAATCCACCTTCTCTCTTTCCTGAACAGTTTCCAATTACTTTCACTTTTCCCTATAAAATCCACAGAGCACAGTTAAGCACTCCATTCCCACTAATTTCATAGCGCATTTGAAGGAACTTTGTATGCTTCAAGAGAGATGGGAGAGCATCATGCGTGGCCAAGGCCAGGTTCTCGATGCATACTTATAATGTGTTAAATTATTTGGGGAACGCTGCCATTATGTTTACTCAAGAATAAGGTGACACTGGGAAACAATTTTTTTTCAAGGTAATACTTTAAATTTATTTTTTTTTAAAAAAAAAGAATACAGCTTTGTCTGATTTTGTAAGAGCAAAGGCAACAGTCAATCATTTCTTTGGCTCATTCATTCAATCCTTGAGCAAAACTTAAGCCAAGGTTACTTTGGTAGGATTTAAAGCAACGAGACATATGTGAATAAAATGATATTAGGTCTATGTAATTCTGAATAATAAAATAAAGATTAAGATGGCAATATGTCCCGCAAGTACTGGTATTTAAACTTTAAAAATCAATCAAGAGAGAAGATTAACTGGTCTTTCTTTGGTACTAAAAATGTAAAGCTAGGACTAAATTGTTCTATTTTCACAGATTTAAGATACAAGGAATGATATTTAAAGACATTAATGTGACTATTAAACCCTACAGTTTATAAAGACGTTCCTGTGAAGTACACTTAGCAGAGATCCCTGAGTGTATTAAATACTCTATTAGTATCTTCCTTCAAAAACAGAGAGGAATAATTTAAAAGCTTTGCGAGACATAAACACAGTACTTAGCAAAAGCAGAACCCGTTTCGAAGGCTCCCTCTGCGGTCTGTAAAACAGGCCACCTCAGGCCGGCTCCACGGCACAGCAGAGTCACAAGATGAAAATGCCTTAGCTGTCCTTCAGCAAGCTGTTAAACCAGTCGCTTATGGACTTTCTGTTTTGTCTCAGCCACTCAATATTGTTCTTCACTGTTTCCAATGCTTGTTCTCTAGGTTGCACTCCTGCTCCAGCATTTGGATATTTTGCAAAAAAGCTCTCCATCTAGAAAAGAGAAGGCAATCATTCAAAGGACCCCTTGAAGCCTACCTCTTCAGGAATTCCATTTGGAAACAGACTTTGTTTCTTCCTTTGGGAATTTGTTATGACAGCAGCTCCTGGTGTCGCACTCAATGAGCCTGCCAGGCGCATGAGCAATCATGCCTCTTGGCTTTGGGCTCCTGAGAGCCTGTTTAATCACAAGAGGCTATGATAGGGAAGGAGGGCGTTGTGCCATGGTTCCCATGTCCACTTCTGTGGATTCCTCTATTGTCTGTGCATTTCCCAAAGTGTCCCAGGGACATTGTGGTCTGTGGCATAATGGTTTTTCTCCAGCCTTTTTACTCTAGGGGTCTGGAGAATTTCCTACAATTTCAGTTCATTTCCTAAAAGACTTGTAAGAAAAGACTCTCTCCAGCATACTTCAATGAGCTCCTACCCTCCAAACCCCCTAAAACTCAGCCAGAGTATTATCTGCCAATTTCAAAACTAAGGATTACTTTGATTCTTAACATATGCAAGAATCTAAACATCTCAATCTAAATGTCTCAATATCTAATACACAGACATGAAGACTTCATAACAGCTCTCTTTGTTCTATATTAATAGACATACTTTTTTTCTTCACTGAGATTTCAGAGATTTAGGATTAGTTTCAAAATTCCCAAACTATCAATTCTGAATGGACTCAAATCTCAACCAACTTATCCCAGAGTCACCGACAGCTACCCAGATAGCAGAGACACACTACACACACAGTTCTGTCAGCCATTCCCCGCCTACCCAGGCCTTACATTTCCCAGTTTTTAAACCTCTTTCTCATTTGAATCATTTTTCAGATTAGTAAAAAAGCAGTGTATAACTGATTAGATTTAAGGGGTTTCTCTTTCTTCTTGTGTCTGGGATTTTATCGGAGAAATGACGACATCTCTTTGGGAGACAAGCTTAAGCTTGTTCCCTTCTAGACAAGTCGAAAGGGCTCTGTCTCCATACCTGCCAGAGCTGCAGCTCAGTGTTGAAAGGTTCAGCAATGGTGACGATCCGGCCAAGGTATCTGTCATTGATGGTGAATCTGCAGGGAAATGGAACAGAGTAAAACAGAATATTAGTGTCCTAGCATGAAATCTTTTTTCTAGATGAAAAAGGTGTGTGTGTGTGTGGGGGGGGGTGAGTGTGAAGTAGTTTTCAAAAGAAGCTAAACACAGAAAGAAAATACGATGGTTCAGGGAGTAGACGCGGCAGCCGTGCGAGCCCGATGCCCCGAGTTCAATCCCAAAATTCCCCAGCGGAAAGACAAAAACCGACTCCTGAAAGCTGTCCTTTGACCAGCGCACACACACAACCAATACAATTTTAAAAGCAAGCACTTTTATCATCATATTCAGGAGTAATGTCTATAAAGTCCATCCTTCTCTTTGCGTACCGATTTCATTGCATTTCTCAGACATGGTAGGCTGCTTGTTGTATCTCTCAAATACTTCCCTTCCTCCTGGGTACAAGGGTACGCAGACAATGACAGTACTTCTCAGTCTCCCTCAGAACTATGTACAGATGCACAACTTAATTCTTATCAACAAAACACTAAGTGATACATCAAACTAGATCATAAGGGGAAATGGCTTGTCCGTCTTTGTCTGTTCTTTGTTGCTGTAATGGAACACCTCTGACTGGGTTCCATGTAAAGAATGAGTAACCCTTGCACTGCTTCAGCTCCTGAAAGAAAGCAGCCTGGAAGCATGCAAGCACACAAGAGGCACATGTGAGGACCTGGGACATGTGAAGTGCTTCATAACAATTATTCTCTAATTACCTTAAAATTTTAAAAGACATTTGAGCTAGGGTTTCATGGAGCCCAGGATGGCCCTGAGCTGATAGCTGGTCATATAGCTGAGGATGACCTTGAAGATTTGACCCTCCCACTTCCTCTTTCTGAGTGCAGGGATTACAGGCATGCATCACCTTTTCTGGTTTATGAGGTGCTGTGCTGTGGATGATTGATTGATAAATAAAATGCTGATTGGCCAGTAGCCAGGCAGAAAGCATAGGCAGGACAAAGAGGGAGGAGAATTCTGGGAAGTAGAAGGCTGAGGCAGGGAGATGCTGCCAGCTGCCATGATGAGAAGCAACATGTTAAGATACTGGTAAGCCACGAGCCACATGGCAATTTATAGATTAATAGAAATGGGTTAATTTAAGATGTAAGAACAGCTAGCAAGAAGCCTGAGCCATTAGGCCAAACAGTTTGTAAATAATATAAGTCTCTGTGTGTTTACTTGGCTGCGGGACTGGCAGGTGAGAGAGATTTGTCCTGACCATGGGCCAGGCAGGACCAGGAAAACTTCAGCTACAGTGCTGGGGAATTGAACCCAGGGCTTTGTGCATGTTAGGCAAGCACCGACCGTACCAACTGAGCTAATTATTCCTTAATGGCCCTGCTGCCTCTCAGCATGGAAACATCAACGACCAATTTTAATAGGTGGTTGGGTGAGGACAACCTCTACATATGACCAACCCACGTCAACACTACACATTCACTTAGGACTTCACTCACACAGGACTTCCTTCACTCCTTACAGATGGAAATACAAATCTCATCACAACTAATCACAGCATTTTTTTAAAAAAAGAAACCCCACAAAGTTATGTATAAAATTTGACCACTGAAATATTGGGGGAGGAATATGGGAAAATATATCTATATATAAATCAATTGGAGAAAGTTTACACTCCAGAACTATTATACACCAAAAGCAAACACAGTGGAAGACAGACACAGACAAAGTTTGCTTTATCCTATTTTTAAAAGTTTTATGCTATAGAGGAGAACTTGTTGTAAACAAAATTAAAAGCAACTTGGGAAAAAAACAGCTGTAATATATATGGAAGCAGAACCTTTTTTTCTACATAAAGAACCATTGCAAAGTGCTAAAAGGGAGCAATATGCGGAGATGGAATCAGCAGAGGGATGTGGTGATATTTTATTTGTGCTGAAATGTGGTAATATTTTATTTGTATGCTAATAAATAAAGTGTGCCTGGCGATCAGAGGAAATAGCAAGCCATTTTAAGTTAACACAGAAGTCAGGTAGTGGTAGCACACACCCTTAATCCCATCACTTATCAGGCAGGATCTCTGTGTATTCAAGGTCATACTACAGAACAGAGCCAATCGTGGTGAGACACGCCTTTAATCCCAATACCAACCATAGAGACCTGGAGGTCTGTACAGACGGGCAGTGACAAGGAAATGAGGTAGCTGGGCTAAGAGCCAATGAGAGGGCAGAACAACAAGGCAATAAAGGCACAGGTAGACAGGAAGTAGCTCACTTTTGGGAGCTGCAGAGCTGGCGAGGTAAGGTTGGTTGGTGGCTATTCCTATTTCCCTGATCTAAGGCTTTCACCCCTATATTTGGCTCCATGTTTTTTATTTAATAAGACTGTTTAGAAATTCGTCTACAGAGGCATGAAAAGATGCAAACCTCTGTGCACTAGCCAATACCCAGCCTCACCACAGACACAACTGCATTTCTATCCACCACTCTTAGGCCTCACTCTTCAGTCTTTACCCAAAAGGTGACTCCTAGGCACTGTCTGCCTCACAATCACTTCCACCCTTGCCAGGAAACACGGCCTCTGGCTTCCAGAGTGTTTGCTCTCCAGACCTTTTCTCTGGCCCCACTCTGCACATCTCCGCCCTTCTGTCTACTTGCTTCCATGTGGGATACACAATCTTTCTGCTCCTCTTTCTCTCTGCTCTGAGCTGTGCTGCCATGCTGAGTCATTTCCACACGATCAATGCAGTATGTTATCTCCTTAGTTTCCTGAGCATATTTCCAGCCCTGTTTTCCATGTTCCACTTTAGCCATCCAATTCCCATAATGCCTTGCAATCACTTTAAACCTGCATCCAAATCACTCTTTTGTGTGCTCCTTACAACAAAATATGCTCTTCAGTTTTCACTCTGACCATCCTTAGTCTAGCCTGGATTTCTGGTCTGTTGACTCTCCAATGCCAACTTCTACTGGACCATAAGACCTTTCTTTTATGCTCCATGTATTTATTTACATAGTTGAGATGTGATAGCTTCATGTTCAATCACACTTTTAATTAAACCCTGAGCTCCCTTGTACTGTAATAATTCTTGTCTAGAAAAACCATAACTTGGAATGGAGTCAGCTGTTTATCTTCTCAGGTTGTTTCAGGTGGTCAAGTTCTGACTTGAGAAGTCACCCGACTCATTGTATATTCACAGATAAATATCAAATGATAATCCCACATTAACAGTCCCCCTCCATTCCCTAGCCAACACATTCATTTTTTTTCCCCTTCAATCTGCCCTTTTCAAATGTTTTCTCTCCCCAAACACGGTCCCTCCTTCCCCCTCCCCTAAAGATGCCTTTGCCTTCCACTGTAGAGAGAAATACAAAGTAACTCCTACATAGGCCTGTCCCCTCCTAATGCCTCAGCTTTGATTGCCTGTTTTCCTACTTAAAAAACAACAACTTTGCTTAAAAAAAAACAAACAATTTTGTTCCACATACTGGGACTTTCTCATCAGCATTTAAATATATTAGATACATTAAAATATCTTCAATATACAAAAGGGGTAAATGGGGGCCTGAGGAGATGAATCAGTGGTTAAGAGCTCTGGCTACTCTTCCAGAGGACCTGGGTTTGATTCCCAATATCCACATGGCAGCTCACAACTGTCCGTAACTCCATGCCCAGGGGTTTCGACACCCTCACACAGACATACATGCAGGCAAAACACCAATCCATGTAAAATAATACTAATAAAGAATTTTTTAAAAAAGAAGAAAAGGAAGGATCCTCCTTTTTAATCTGGCATTTCTCTTGGTTGTCTCTCCTTCCATATTTGCCAAACTTTTCATGAAATTTTGCTACAGACTCTTGCTGGCTCTGCACACTTGGAGTCATCCCTTATCAGTCTTCTAGAATACTCTTTTTAATAAGGTTTCAGTTTTACTACTGTTAATTATGTGTATGTGGCGGTGAGGGGTATGTGCCTACGAGTGCAGGGGCTTGTGGAGGCCAGTCATCAGCATCCTCTGGAGCCGGAATTATGGGTGGCCCAGAACATTATTCCAAAGGGCTTTTTTATCTCCCTCCTCCCCCTCCCCCCCCCCCCCGGCGTTTTTTCAAGACAGGGTTTCTCTATGAAACAAGTTCTGGCTGTCCTGGATCTCATTCTGTAGACCAGGTTGGCCTCGAACTCACAGCGATCCACCTGCCTCTGTCTCCCCAGTGCTGGGATTAAAGGCATGTGCCGCCGCCAGGCTCCAAAGGGCTTCTTATAACAATGCCAAGGGGAGGGTCAAAAGAGCTCCCCCTTGCTAGATACAGCCAAGTGTAGCCCCTTCCAAACGCCTGGTACCCAGGCCCGTGGTCCAATCAACCTCTATGCAGTCCTGCTGGGTAAGGCCACTAGGAAACCTAGGTGGGCTCCAGCACGTGTCCCTGCACTCTCTTCTTTCATTTTCAAACTCCCTCCGTGCTCTGTGGGTCCTCCATCTTCACCATCACGCCACGGTCCAGTTTATCACTGTCTTTGCTGCCAGCTGGCCATTGTCTTTGCTGGGACTACAGCAGAAGGTAACCACGCTTCCCAAGTCCAGTCTGATCTCCTGGTGCCCATGCTTCCCGGTTATCGCCAGAAGCACTCATTTTCAACATAAACCCATCATTTCACTGTATTACAAACTTCCAATGACAGACTCATCATTGCTCTTAGAAAAAAAGTCAAATTTTAACAAGACTCTGCTCCTTTTAACAGTCATCCCTTTCTTTCCTGGTAGCCTCAGCCAAGATACTTCGGTTTCTGTTTCCCCAGTTCTTTCCTGCCCTTCATTCCCGTGGGCTGGCACTTCCTTAGGAAGACCTTGCCTCCAACTTCTTTCAAGTTGATTGGTTTCCCCTTTGTATTATTTTGGTGTACTCTGAGTCTGTTTTCGGGGTAGGTACTACAGTTGTATATGTTTATTTATGAAATTCTTGATTTAATACTGCTTAACTTAATAATTCATGACTATTTGCTCTCACCAAAGTCTTAAGTTCTGCAAGGAGAGAGAGAGAGCTGGGCCCAACTCTCTTTCCTATTGCAGCCCCAATGCCAATGATGGAACCTAGCACACAGCATGTGTGCTACAAGACTTACTAGACAAAAGAATCATACTTTAAAATGAGGTTTTAGGGGTTAAAGAGATGGCTCAGTGGTTAAGAACACTTGTTGCTCTTCTAGAAGATCAGGGTGTAATTCCTAGTACCTTCAAGGTAGCTCACAACTCTCTGTAATTTCAGTTCCAAAGGATCTGACACTCTCCTCTCACCTCCCCAGGCACCAGACATTGCAAGTGGCACACATACACACACACAGTCAAAACATCCATACACATAAAAATAAGAAAAAATTTTAAATTTAAAATATAGAAATAAAATGAGATATTAATGAGGATATTTAAGAACAACACTTAGTCTAGGAACATACTGGGAAAACAGGCAGTTACTATAAATGTCATTTATCAGAAATGCTAAAATCCTATCATTCAGTAGCAGTAGGACATGAAAAGAATAAATCCTAAAACCGTGTGGATAACATGGCTCTGTGTGTATCAAATAAGCAGCCACAGAGAAATGGTTTAGGAATAAACACGGACAGCAGAAGTTATTTCTGACTGATTCTATTACAGATGACTTCAACATTCTTATTATCGTCTGCAGCCTCTGAAAAATCACACATATCAGTTCTGTAAGAGGAAGATGGGAATTTTAAAAAAAGGAAATACGCTTGTGGCTGAAGTGAGAGTCTTTGAGTTCTAAGAATAGATGCCAATTGCAAGTCACCGTTATTTGAATGGCTTATAATTTCTGAATTATTGTTATTTTACTCTTAGTGACTAAAAATTAAAAGAAATATTTGGGAGCTAGGAACAAATACATTGAATAAAAGCTGCAAATACTTGTGTAAACACTACCTACAAAGGAGCAAAATATGTTTATCTCAAGGGCCCACTAGCATATGAAGTGCAGAAAATAGGAGGAAACGCACCGTAGTGTCTTCATCAAAATGGTTAAAACTATACTAAGAGTTTAAGTATATCTTTATTATTATTATTATTATTTTCATTTTTTTTTTTTTTTTGGTTTTTCGAGACAGGGTTTCTCTGTGTAGCTTTGCGCCTTTCCTGGAACTCGCTTTGGAGACCAGGCTGGCCTCGAACTCACAGAGATCCGCCTGGCTCTGCCTCCCGAGTGCTGGGACTAAAGGCGTGCGCCACCACCGCCCGGCTTTCATTTTTTTTTTAATTTTGGTTTTTTGGGACAGGGTTTCTCTGTGTAGCTTTGCACCTTTCCTGGAACTCACTCTGTAGCCCAGGCTGGCCTCAAACTCACAGAGATCCGCCTGCCTCTGCCTCCCGAGTGCTGGGATTAAAGGTATGCGCCAACACCACCCGGCTTAAGCATATCTTAAATAGCTTGAAAAAGTTAGATGAGGTCATCTACTTCAACTTCATATTTATATGCCTAATATTGTATCATATGGAAATTATTTTGATGTATTCAAAACTTTTGATTCAGTGCTTATTGAGCTGTTTTGAGATAATGTTTAAATGTTTAGATCATGTTCATTATGTCAAAATTATTGAATTTTTTTCATCTGTAACAAACTAAAATCAAATTTGGTCAAACCCCACTACAGACCTATTGAGCTTCATAGTTTCTCTAAGGGTTTAGAAGACACAGGAGCAGAGAGTCACCCCCACAGATACTGGGGCTTTGTGATTAGGCTCAAAGTAGAGAACACAGCAGTGGGCTGGCAAATAGCAGTTATAAAGGTCACGTGAAAAAAGCTTGAGAGAAAAAATTTATCTGAGGGTTGTAGCATGAATCTTAAAATGTCTTATTAACATAAAACCTAGGAGCCAGGTATTGGGGTGAACGCTGAAAGATCAGAGAAGCAGAACAAGCCACAGCCAACCTCACCTCACCAACTTCTCAGCCGATCCCGTTTCCTCAAACTGGAAGCCTCTGAATCCTCATCCAAACGAATCTCAGCTGAACTGCTGCTAAAAGCCTAAAAGCTTAAAAGCCTCTAGTTCCTGGTCCTCACGCCTTATATACCTTTCTGCTTCCTGTCATCACTTCCTGGGGTTAAAGGGGTGTGTTACCTTGCCTGGCTGTTTCCAGTGTGGTCTTAAACCCACAGAGATCTGGATGGATCTCTGCCTCCCAAGTGATAGAATTAAAGGTGTGTGTGCCACCGTTTTCTGGCCTCTATGTCTAATCTAGTGGCTGCTCTGTTCTCTGACCCTAGATAACTTTATTAGGGTACACAATATATCGACCACAAAGGGTAATAACAAATTGTTCAGAAATAGAGACAGTAATACCACTCAATCAAAAATTTGGAAATCATTCAAAAGTTTAGAAATATTTGAATAAAGCTTGGCTCATTTCTATATAACTTGTCTCTTATTAATTTTTCATAGGGAAATTTTATTTCTTCAAGCCAAATATAATTAATATTGCCTTTTGTGTAACAGACATGTGGTTATTGTATGATCTTGTGTTGGGGCCATCTACAATAATATCTCATGAAAGTTAGAGCATCAGACAATGAAGAAATCTTAAAAGCTTTGGGCAAGGCTTGTGGGCCTAGCTCTGACAATGGTTAATCAATCCATTGTCCTTGGAAACGACTTTAATTTATATGATCTAATATGTTAACTTTAAAGCCAGATATTCATGGTGTCTTTTACAAAAAATCTATTTTTTCTACTTATCAATTGTTAAAAGTATATAATAAACAAAAGATACTTTTATCTTTTCACAGCAATTTAAAAGTAAACATTGTGCTTCATTTATATAAATTTCTTGCAGCGTACATAGACTCGTGGTCTTTCAGCTAACACAAAACACACAGTAGGCGTCATTAAGCATCCATCTTTCTAAATGGAAAGTACTCCTCACACAAGATGAATTCATAGGCCCAGATAACACATTCTTTTATATATATATATATATATATATATATATATATATATATATATATATATATATATATATTTATTATGTATACAGAAGGGGGTGCCAGATCTCATTATAGATAGTTGTGAGCTACCATGTGGGTGCTGGGAATTGAACTCAGGACCTCTGGAAGAGCAGTCAGTGCTCTTAACCTCTCCAGCCCCAGATAACACATTCTTGTTGAATAGATTTACTCAGTCCAAACCAAGCCTTTCACTGAAACAATTATAAACAGATGAACCACAGATATGAACTCATGTGTGCTCATGTCCTCAGACCAATGTTTAGAAATGGATGAATATAGCCAGGCAGTGGTGGCACATGCCTTTAATCCCAGCACTGGGAGATAGAAGCAGGAGGATCCCTTTGAGTTCAAGGCCAGCCTGGTCTACATAGTGAGTTCCAGAACAGCCAAGGAGGTTACACAGAAAAACCCTGTCTCGACAAAACAAAACAAAACAAAAAAAAAGAAACGGCTGAACGGTGACTCTCACTAGTCACAAGAACAAACAAGGCAAAAAATCTATCATAAATGGGCAAAAGCAATGTAGAAAACTTCAGTTGAGAGCCAGAGACACAATGTGCATCTCAGAAGGAAAGGGAATATAAATAGACACGATGGCAGGGGTGAACTGCCAGGAGAAAAGAGGGGGTAAAGTCATCCCTGTGGCTGTGTTTCTCAGAGGACAGTAATGACCGTCTGCCATTGACAGGGAAGATTAATACAGACGACAAGGAGACTTCCTAACGGGAGGCTTACAGGGGGACTGACCTTTCATCAGTGTGTACACATTTATTTGGGAAATACATTTAGCCTATATTCTATTTTATAGTCGGCCAAAGAAGTGTCCTTTTTAACAGAAATTGAGCAGTGCATTTAGAGGACCAGAGCCAAGAGTGGCAGCACATCCTCTGCACGGGGCAAAAGAAATGAGAAGCTCGGGGAAACATCTCTCATTTGTTGTGCTCTGCCATCTGTAGTTCCCATTTCCCAAGCTGCTGTCACTAGGCGTGAGGGTAGGTCAGTCATAGAGCATGTGCTTTCTGCTTAGTAGACAGAAGGGCCTGGATCCTCCAGTCCTCAGCACCAACAAACCGCACACACACACACACACACACACACACACACACACACACACACACAGAGACAGAGAGGTGCATATGCCAGATCTCTACCCACCCACCCCCAAAGTGTTATTGCCTAAGAAACATAGTTTCTTAGGAAGAAAGAAACTGTCTTAGGAAGATCAATGCTGTGGTCCTTTACCTCTGGCGATGCACCATTTTGGTATGGGACAGCAGTCAGAGAAAGTCAGAAAAAGAAGGCACCTGTAGAGAGTGTCACACAAGGCATCAAGGAGCCATGATCTGATCGTCCCACCTGTTGACCAGATAGTCCCAGTTGAGTTGTATCCAGTTCCAGGCCATGCTCTTCCCGTATGGGTTGTATGAGATGTAGCGGATGACTGTAAACACATCCTGAGTTTTAATCACATTGGGGTCTTTGAGCATTTCCAGATACCTAAGTGAAGGCAAAAAGAAAACTGCTTCAAAATGAACTTTGAATGGGAACCATCATCTAAATTTCAGGGCCACACAGCTTTCGTCCCAGTAACTCAATTCTTGAGGTATCAACTGACAGAATGAAGTAAATATGACAAACGGAGAAAGAAGTCTTTTTTAATAATTAGTGTATTTAGCTGTTTTTAAAGAGTAATGTCTAATTTTGATGAATACTAAAATATAAACATTTAAATCTAACAATTTTAGTTAGTATTAAACATTAAAACTATTATTGAAACTTAAACTAATTCAAAATTTAAATTATTTTGGAAGCACCAAAAACAATTAAAACTACATTTTAATGATTACTCTAATAAAATAACATTTATTGAATTGAGTACACACACTTATTTGTCTATTATCCCACTGAATTTAAAAACAGTGTCTGTTAAAGAAAAACTTTAGGTCTTATTCTATAGGTCAGAACTTAAACTTTACTTGCTAATGTAAGCTACATAGTTAGATTAGCTAGCTATAATTACAGTATAATACAAAGAAGTCCAGGATGAATTAAAGAACAAATGGGTAGATGTTCCTCAATGTTATGCTGTGGTGTTAACTAGAGTTGGCCTTCTAAGTCCATATCGCTATTAGAATTATTTCTATTTGAAGTCAACACATGTTTTGTTTACTATGAGAAAGGCACCTCAAAAATATCTACCACTGATAATCAGACATATTTTCATAATCTCCTTGTCTTGTTCCATGGCTTCCTACCTACTGGCTCAGACCATTCCTATTTTTAGGGGAGATAAGGCTTAATAACTACCAAAATAGATCACTGTCCAACTTGAGATGTGAGATAGATTAGAGAGATACTCTTTATCAAAGAGGAAAGAAATTTATAGACTTTTTTACATTTTTTTAATATATCAATGTCAAGTATACTTAATGCTGGAGTCTAGATAGAAAATGGCCCCAAAGTTCTGTAGTTGAAGGCCTGGTCCCCAGTTGGTAACATATTAGGAGAAATTGGATCATCATGGTGCTGTCTTCATCAGTGGATCGAGCCATTGTAATGAATGCCTAACTCAACAGATTGTGAAGAGGTCCCATTTCATTGAAGGAAGTGGATCACTTTGAGGGGTGTATGTTGTCTGTCTCCTTCTCTGTTATTCTCTGCTCTCTGGCTGCCATGTGGTGAGCAGCCTTCCCTCTTTAGTTCTCTACTGTGATGTTTCTGCCTCTGTCAGGCCTAAGCACATTGGAATATGAACTCAGATCTCTGAGCCATGAGCCAGAATTAATCTATCCTCACTTTAAGTTGTTTTCTTAGGGGTTCTGGCACTGTGATAGAAAAGGAAGACATTTGGCCCTAGAAATTTACTGTAAGTGAGACTGAAGAAAACTTGGGCTTGAAGTTAAGTTCATATGCTGTGGGACATTAGAATATACCAGTCAGTCCTTTCATTCTTTCGGGGGAAGTTCTGTAGATCAATAGCTAACTTTGTGAAATGCCCAATGTGGAATGGGCACACAACAGTATGTCCTAGGCAGGATGAGGGACTAGATTCATTGGTTTAAGGAACACCCATGCTGCTTTGGCTTGTTGGTAGTGTAGAGGAACCCTAGACATGTCTTTAGTCTCGAAAAGAAACGTGAGGAGATTCTGAAAAAGCCTCTGGACAAACCAAAGTGTTATACAGCACAAGTATTTTAGGAGTGGAAGACATGACTGTGACCATAGCATTCATCTCTAGAAGACAGACAGCGTTCTAGAAGGTAAGATGTGAGCTGTTAAAACCCAACCGACTTTGGCCCAGGACCAAAATAGGTAAATACCTTAGGGAAGACCAACAAAAAAGAGAGCATCCCTTTCTCCATCACTACAAAAGGACACATGTCTTCCTTGTATAAAAGGAAAATGGGGAAGGGAGGAAACCATAGGACATTTACTTAGAGACTACATGACTAGGGTTTGGGTTTAACAACTCATTTAAAAACCAGACTTGCAGACAAACACAGCCAATGTCTGGGGTCCTCACTGTACTGGCTTTTAGAACCAGTCAGATAGAAAACAAAGGTGTCTACCTTTTTAAGCACTTGCAGTTGTACAAATAAACCTACTTTGGTGTGAAATACGGCACACTTATCAGACACTTCAGATAAGCAAGCAATTCCAGGGGACCCCTCACATCACCCCAAACTTGCTGCCAAACCTCCTTTGTTATTGTCATATCTCAAGTTCTGGAAGACTCTGCAGATGCTTGGAATAACAATCTCAAATGTGAATAGTGCTTCAAATTCACAGATTATAAAGATCTCTGGCCACAGAAACCACTTTCTGTGGAGGATGGTGCAAGGTAGAGTAACCTGTCTTGTACAACAAATGTCTTAGGAGAGTACTTTGGCACACTAGGCCATTGAAATTCAAGAAACTGTACTGATGTGGTGGGCACTGAAGTTTTTTTTTGTGTGTGTGTGTGTGTGTGTGTGTAATTTTTCTTCTATACCTGCATCCACAAGAGTCTTTCTAAAACATATAGTCTTTAAACTCCTTAACAAATAATTAGCACCATGCCATCAAGTGTAATGCTTTGACATATGTCAAGATGGTTATGTTCATTATTTAATCTGAACCAATTTTATTTTATTAATTTTTATTTTTGTATCATTTTATGAGTATGGACATCTTGCTTGCGTGATTGTCTATGCATCGCTTTAGAGCCTGTGCCCATAGGGACCAGAAGAAGGCGTCAGTTCCCCGGGACTGGAGCTAACAGGTAGTTGGGAGTCACTATGTGGGTTCCAGGAATCAAACTAGAGTCCTGTGAAAGAGCAGTCAGTGCTTCTAACTGCTGAACCATCTCTCCAGTCCCCCAAGTTTATTTTAAATTACACATTAAACATGGCAGTCCTGGTGGGAAGCAGAGGTAGGGAGATTGCCTTAATGTTACAGGGCCACATAGTGAGACCTTGTCTAAAAATCGAATTAAAAGAAGAGAAAATTAAAAATAAATTACACCTGAGTATACATGTTAACGTTAGAAGACTTGCCTGGCACAGGCAAAGCATTGGTTGGAGTTAATCCCCAGCACTAGGAAGTAACAAAGAGTTTACCTTGCCAAAAGAGTAACATCCCGCACGGAAGCTAAACCATAGAGCAATTTTTCTTTTTCTTGTGCTAGGGAGGTTTTCTGGTATTGCTCTAGAGTATAGTTCCATGAAGTCTCGTTGCCAGAGTTCTGCATCCCATAGCGGTACACCAGAAGCCTGAGGTTTACAGGAATGCTACGAGAAGAAAGGATGTTTTAGGAATTTCATGTGTTTACTCACAACTCTGTTAAAATCTTCTGTCAGGCAGTGGTGGCGCACGCCTTTAATCCCAGCACTCAGGAGGCAGAGGCAGGCGGATCTCTGTGAGTTTGAGGCCAGCCTGGGCTACAGAGCGAGATCCAGGACAGGCACTAAAACTACACAGAGAAACCCTGTCTCAAAAAAAACTTCTAGACAAGCAAACAACATGAGTAGTCACCTTTCTTTCCCTTGTAGCCAGGTCTCAAATAACTGGGAAGCGTTTCTCAAGGCATCACCGTCTCCCATCTTGCATGCAAATCCTAATATAGAAGCACGGAGTAACCTTCAAAAACAAATGAGCACAGAGCCAGGGCCTCAACAAATTGTTCATCATGTCTTAAAACACAAACACACAAATGTCAAGTGAATATTAGTTTTTAAAAGGTAAGAAATAACTTTGTGATGTGGCTTCCAGTATCCTGCCATCCCAGAGAATCCGCAATGGGCTTCACTTGACCTTGGAAGTACGTCTGAAATAGAAGCAGAGTATACCATGAGTAAGAACTTGCTACTTACCTGCATCTGATGTCCCCTAGGTCCCCCACTGTAATCTTTGCCCTACTAGTTCTGAGAAGTGTGGGCCAGCACTTAGAAAAAGAAGGTGTTCACATTTTATAATGCTGAATTTTCCTTCAGTCCTAAACATAGAAACATGAAAGATTCTAGATCTTTCTTTAATGTTTTCTAAAAACATTAACTGAGCCCCCTTTGATGCTTTGATTGTCAACTTGATACAACCTAGATTCACCTGAGAAGGGAGTTTCAGTGGGGGACTGTCTAGATCATAAGTCTGTGGGGATTTGTCTTGATTCCATTATTTGATGTGGGATGACCCAGCCCACCATGAGTGGTACCATTCCCTAGGAAGGGGATTCTAGGTTAAGAGTGGAGAAAGTAAGCTGAGCAGTCACAAGCATGCATTAGTTCTTTGCTCTCTGCTCTTGACTGCTGATGTAATGGGACCAGGTGCTTCAAGTTCCTGCTGCCCTGACTTCCCAGCAATGGACTGTGTGGTAGTTTGAATGTAATTAGCCCCCATAACTTCATAGGGAATGGCAATATTAGGAGGTGTGGCCTTGTTGGAGGAAGTATGTCACTGTGGAGGCAGACTTTGAGGTCTCATACATGTTCAAGATAACATTCAGTGTCACAGTCATTTCCTGTTGCCTTCTGATCAAGATGTAGCCAGCACCATGTCTGCCTTGTTCCCCACCATGATGATAATGAACTGAACCCCTGAACTAAGTGGCCACCTCAATGTCTTCTTTTTTTTAAGAGTTGCCGTGGTCATGGTGTCTTGTCACAACAACAGAAATCCTATCTAAGACAGACTGTAGCCTGGAATTGTGAACCAAATAAAGCTTCTTTCTAAAGAATTGATTTTATTGGGATATTTTTATCACAGCAACAGGGGGGAAAAAAACTATTTCTTCATTATAGTAATAATAAAATAATTTTAAAAAACACCGTTCTCACTCCTGATACTAAGATGAGTGTTTCAGCACTGATGAAATATTTTAAAATGATAGCTCTTTAGATTTACAAAGATCATTTAGGGGTCCTCACTATCCCATCACCACAGGCAGGCCAGTGCTAACACTCCTATTACACAGATGAAACTTGCACTCACAAATAGCAAGCCATTTTTTCCAAAGGTCTTCCATTTAATACACAAAATAGCCAGATTTGGATCCAGATTTGTTTAAAATTGCAAGCAGCCTGCCAAAGTGCTATTGAAATGTCAAAGAAAAGGTAAACAGAAATGACTAACTTAAAACAAAATCCCGATGTGGAGGCGAGAGTAAGAAAATATAATTTTCTTATTTTGTTGTATTTTTGTTAAGAATAAACTAATTTTAGCAGATAAAACCATTTTAAAGTAGGTTCTAGTTTATAGTTTAAAATGTTACAAATTTAAATAAGATAGTCTTATATTCATTTTGATACTAAAATGGATACCTTTTTGAGGTATACTGAAACACAAATATGAAACATTTCAAAGTGAAGAAGATCAGACAGTCATCCTGCTTTGATTAGCCAAGTCCTAGAACATCTCTTGATTTTGTGTGATGGACAGATATCCCGCAAGATAGAGCTCCTTCCCTGAGAAGCCACCCCAGCTGACCGAACATTCACAACTGTGGTGTACGCATAGCGTTAATGTCACCTCTATCACAGGGTACAGCTCTCTGTCATCTTCAAACATGCTAATGATGTAGGTCACAGCTGAAATGGCTCTCTGCCACGGTAAGAAATCCTCTTCGGACTTGAGATACCTGGTCAAGCCCAGGGCTGTCTCGTAACTCAGAAGCCGGGCTCTGAGAGAGAAAACAAGCAGGACAATTAATGGAAAACTGGACTTTCATTTGAAAGGATCAGTACGGTGATGCTAGCATTTTATGTTAGTGACAATTTCTCTACTAAACAATTAAAAAAATTGCATTTACGGGTTAGAGAGACGGCTTAGCGGTTATAAGCACTTCTTGTTTTTGCAGAGGACCAGAGTTCTCAGCATCCCTGTCAGGAGGTTCACAACTGCTTGTAATTCTAGCTCTAGGGGATTAGATGCCCTCTTCTGTCCCCTGTGGGCTCCCACACATATGTGTGTACACACACATACATACATTCATATATATATCTTTTTTTAAAAAGAGAGAAATTTCACTTGTTGTTGAGAAGTGATGGGGCACTTCCCTGGTACCCCAGTAGTCAGTATCATAAAAAATTATGGAAAAGAATTTCTAAAAGTTTGGTTCAGATATGTTTGAGAAGAATGTTAGAAACATTGCCCTTAAAATTGTCCTTAACATTTTGAATGTTGATACACACAGAAAATGCTACTCTCAGTCTTAATCAGAGATGTCTCTCTATGTGGCCAGCAGTGATGAATAAAGAGAAGGTGCTTGGCGCTCCAGGAGCTGAGATTAAGTGATGATGGAATGCACAGCTCGAAGTTGGACATTTCTACCTCTCCCTGTAAGGTTCAAGGAGCATTGCAAGAGAGGTCCAACTCAGAGAGCTTTGGAAAACACATCTTTACTGTTAGTCAGCCAAGGTGGTGCATTTTCATCAAGTAATAGAATTTGATGAGAACTTGTATGGAAGATCATCTTTTAGGTTCCATCTGCCTATTTTCTCATTTATTTCTTACAACAGTCTTACAGAGTCACCTCTATAGTTTTCTATAAAGATATTGATCCAGACAGAGGTTAAAATGTTGCTCCAACTTCTACAGAAACAGGATTTTATTCAGGTTCAAAAGCCAACTGTTTAACCCTTTGAAAAATGTCAACATCTTTGGACTTCTGATGTTATCTAAGGAGTCCATGTCAAATGTTTCTGCTTTAACTAGTGGACATCAATCTGATTGGCCAGTAGTTATTGAACAATAACTCTAACAGTCACATGCTGTTATGAGTTGGGTTCAGATGCCCATTCTCATAAGAGGATTTCTTGGGCAATATGGACACTAATAAGCAATGATAATACAGTACTGTGGGAAAAAATTAGGCACCTAAGAATGATGCCCAATTCAAGCAGAGGAGTCAGAAGAGGCTTCCTAAGGAATCCACATCTACTTTCAGGCTTAGACAAAGCTGCTGAAAAACAAAGAAATCAAATCAGCTATGTATCTAGCTTCTGAAGAGGGTTAAAAACTTAATAAATAATTATTAGGGTCAGATGATCTGAAAAAACGTCAAGAGGTACCACAGTCACTGTCCCTCTGTTCCCCAATCTAGGTTGCTTATCTCTCTCTAGGTTCAGCTTACTCTCAAATCATGAAGAAAAGAAAAAGTCAAATTTCCAAACTAGCTCCCAAATGCTAACCAATGCAAAAGCACTGTGGCTTCTTCTTCTTCTTCTTCTTCTTCTTCTTCTTCTTCTTCTTCTTGTCCCAATGACTTAGACAAAAATTCACAATTCTAGATTAAAATATCTAATAGTTAGCTTGGACTCACAAACTGAAACTCTGTACATTCATTTGTTAAATCCAGTTATGAAGGTGTATTTTAAAACTAGGTCCTTTATATTTTACTTGCTTATTTTTAGGGGGAGGGGCCTGCCCATTTGGAGGTCAGAGGACAGTATATTGGAACGATTGCTCTCCTATCAAGTGGGTCCTGGGGCTCAAACTCAGGTCATCAGGCTTGGCAAAGGCCACCTTTACCCTTTGAGCCATCTCATCAGTCTGAGATGCACTTTTGATCATTTTAAAATATCACTAATTAAATCAAAGACCTTGATATGGAATTTATCACACCCCATGCCAGCAGGGGAGGAGGTGGGGGTGGGAAGCTTGGGTGTCTATGAATAGCTAATATTAGTATTTGCTATGAGGCTCACATGAATTTTTTAAAAAGAGGGCCAAAAATAACAATAATGCTTAAAATACAGACTTTAGATGTTTTCAGTTTTAAAAAATCTAATACTTAAATGTAGTTGTAACTAATTTTAAACATGTATGGAAAACTCATGGTATTTTAAGTGACCTAACCTCATTTTAAGACATACCTTGCCAAAGCAAAAGCATCATCAATAAAACTTGCACGGTCAGCAGAGGAGAAGTTCTGGAAAAGGAAGGGGGAAAAAAAAGCCATGATTCTCAAAAACAAAGAGCATTGAAAAAAATTAGTATCTTTAAAATGTTATTCTTGGAATAGAACTACAATAGTTTATAAGCATACTGCCTCTTACCAAGTGGTTTGAGGAAAGAGTCTCGACTATCTGGCCCCAAGTTCCTGCTTCATAATTTACACGATAAAACCCAATGTGATCTGGGTTTATTTTGAGAAAACCATCTCCACCAAGACTAGAATTCAAAGTGATTCCTGTGGTAGTAAATAAACACTAATGAGAAACATGTTTGCATACACTGTAAACACAGAGAAATTAGACCCAGAGGGCAAAAAGAAAAAAAAAAAGGAAAGAAAAGCAATATTAGCTCCAAAAGTAGAGTTTGATTTGGACCCAAAGCCCCCAAGCCTAATTCTTATTTAGTTGCCTGACTTTAGAATGTCACTGGAGTGAGCAAGATGAACAAGAAATAAGTAATGTCAACAAGCATCCTGCCATTTGTAACCTACACTCCTCCCTGGAAGAAGCATGCCACACAAGTGCAATAACTCTAAGTTGGTCAGTCCGGCAGGCAGTAAAGAAAATGATGCCCAAAGGCAAAGAAATCCCTGCCTCCTAGGAGGAGTCCATACGTTCCAAGTGTAATGGATTAAATACGTGAAGGCTATTCACTGGCACAACCTGGAGAAGGGCTGAGATGCAAATATTTAAAGGACACCTTCTCAGAATCATCTCAGGAGCTGGATCTACTGGTATATGTTTACAATTCCAGCTACTCATGAGGCTGGAGCAGACTATAGGCTTACTGGGACTCCAGTGAGTTCAAAGCCAGTCTGGGCAACCCCGTAAGACCTTGCCTCAAAATCAAATTCAAACAGATCTGGAGGTGTGGACCAGTGGTGGAGCACTTGCCTACCAGGAGGGAGCCCCCAGGTCTAATCCCCCAAACAAAATACATCTAGATTGCAGCTAGTGGAAATAACTATTGCTAAGTAAGATAATAATGTGAGGACCATGGCATGTTTAAGGCGTTGGGATGTGCTACAACCAACTTGGAACCCAAATGCAATGCTCTCACTTGGCAATCCACTTCCTACTTGTGCTTTCAATTTTATTTGTCTCTGCAAGGTCGCCTACATCCTTATCTAAATTGACAGGAAGAGTGCTTTTTTTAATCAGTAGAGTTAGCAAATTAACTTTCTTCCCAAAGTACCATCCAATACACACATAGGACTCAGCATCAAGCTTTTAGAAGCCCAGTGCTGAAGGGACAGAGACTTAAATTTTAGGTCAAACATACACCTTAAAAATAACAGCTGTGCTCAGATACCACAAGTATTGGTCAGCATTACTTCTATACTTTTCCATTAATACATATTTTGTCTGCATGGAAAATGGACTATTCAAATAATGGTGTGGGGACTTAGAATATGTGAGAGATTTCAAGGAGTTAATACAGTGACAACGTAGGGAATAGTACTGGAAAATAGCAGATGAGGTTGGCAAAGACCGGTGAACATGGCACATGCCATGTGAAAGAATCCATCCTCTGAGAGGGAAAAACACAGATTAGATTGTCAAACAAGGAAATAACATGCCTAAGTCTGTTTCCTAGAAAAATAATTTTTGACGGTGATAGGGAAGGTGTTTTGGATTATATTCTAAAAGCAGGAAGACCAATTTGGAACCCAGCTGTTAATAATCTAGGACAAGAAAGGGTGAGGACTTGGACTGAGGTGGTCACAATGAGAACAGAGCAGAGACTCGTTAGAGGGAAAGCCAGCACGGCTCTCCTTCTGCCGAGAGGAGGGGCAAAGGCTTGCACAGCGGGATGAGTGATGGTGTTGCCACCAGAGCATAGAGGAAGGCAAGTTTGGGAGGAAAAGATGATTTAAATTTTGGAAGCATTTGCAAGGTCTGGAAGACATCCAGGACACAGTAGTTTTTCATAGCATGTAAGTAAATTCTTCAACAAGACAATAAGTTTCCTTCGGAACCTTCACAGCAGGTACTTGACAAATTATAAACCCTTACCTCACTTGTGCAGTATCTATCTTTCTTTGTCGTTTGGCCATGAAGAAGTTGTTGAAAGGAAGCTAATCTTTTGGCAACCTCACCCTTTGAATGTTTGCGCTGGGAGGAGAGTTTCTTGCTAAGGGAAAAGTCATACGTTACTGAAGATAGAACAGGGACTTCTAAGTTTGACAGACCCGGGATAAAATCCTTTCTATGAGACTGGCAAGCTGTGTAACTCTGGCCAAATCACTTGACCTCTCTGTGCCCCAGTTTACCAGGAGGAAAACGAGGATAAAATCCCTCTCGGGGCCGTTGTGAAGGTTAAGTAAGATAACGCTCATAAAACGGGGTCACATCGTTAGGAGTTATGTGACCAACAGATGGTAGCCGTCCCCATTATTATGAAACGGGATAGGCCACCAGTTCTAGAAATAGCCAAGCAAATATAAATAACATTGAGAAGTTCCTGGCAATCCATCTAAATACTGCAGTAATTTACTGTGCTTTATACGTGCCCAGTTAAGCCTGTCTAACGTTACCGTGATTTTTCTCACTTTATGGATGAGGAAGCTGAGACCCAGGAAGTCAGTAGTTAAGGACTTTCCAAGTTCATGCTACCTTGAGCAAGCTTGACAACATTGAACTGTATGGCTGTTCCCTGATGTAACAAAGCCAGTAGAAATGAACAGCGGATGCCTGCTCCTGCGTGCGCATCTGTTTTTATTCTTTTTAATGACCGTAATATCAACACATGTTCTTTACGGGAAGTAAAGGATAAAGAATGCCAGGCGGGGTGGCACGTGCCTGAACTGGGTGTAATTCCGGCACTCAGGAGGCGGAGGCAGGAGGATGGCTGCAAGTTCGAGGCCACTCTGTGCTGCAGAGCTGACCCTGCTTCAAACAGAACCAAACACAAAAGTGTACAAAATAATATAAAAGTTACTCACCAAGCTTGATTTTTAAAAAAATTTCTTTGTGTGTACACGTGGGAGAAGTTTCCACGTGTACACACAAGCAAACACAAACAAGCATGATGGCGCCCTACCTACTTCTTCTATGACTAGTAATCTTTGGTCATTTGAAATTATACTCTGGAGTCTTTTTCTATTTTGAAAATAGATGTGCAATGACCAATCACAAGAGACTCAGATCACCCACCTCATTAATGATTTTGTTCTATTTTTACTAGTTCCGTGGAGCAAATGTTGGGTAAGTTATCCCTGAGTAGGGGCTCTTTCTAAGGTTTTCACTCTCAGGGCTGGTGATCCAGTGGGTGAAAGGCCACACAAATGGAAGTCTCGAGCTAGGATCCCCAAAACCCCCATAGTAGGCACACACCTGTAACCCCAGGGTGGAGAGGGAAAATAGAGGTGGATCCCCAGGGCTTTGGCCAGCCAATCTACCCCAAACAGTGAGAAGAGTGCCTGAACACCATACACATGGTGAACCCATATACACGGCTGAGTGTGTGTGCACCAGTGTACACACATACCTATAGCATGCACATACACAAACAGTAAAGTTTTTAAAATAATTTAAAATTTTCACTCTCTAAAATGAAGCATGATCCGTTGTAAAATGGACTTTTTGTCCACTTGTGGTAACGTTTTCAACAAAATTGTACCGCATGTGCAACCCCAGCTGTTCAAGAGACTGATGCAGGGGGATCATGAATCATGAGTTGAGGGCTAGCCTGGGAAACTTAGTGAGATCCCAGAGTGGTGCAGGGGAGAAGAGAAGAGAGATGGGGAGGAAGGGGAGAGGAAGGGAGAAACGAGGAATTGAGTAATGATCATGTGAGTTGTAATTACAGGGCCTCTCCCCAGAGCTCAGTGGCTGACACAGAGCATTTGTCTGCAAAGAAAGTTGCTTGCAATTGTTTGTTTGTTTGTTTTTGTTTTTGAGATAAGATTGTGCAACACGGTCCAGGCAAGTCTGGAACTTGCTATATACTCAAGGCTGACCTTGAACAAATAACCCTCCTTCCTCAGCCTCCAGCTACAATTTTAATACACCAAATGCAATTCAAGGAAGTCTGAAAAAAAAATGCAACCTGCCTATCATGAGGAAAGGTTTTCCTTAATGTTGATTTGGGTGATCTGGAAGAACATCTTACAAAGGAGAGCTGGATGGTGGAGATCTGCTGGTATGTCTCCCAGCTGCCCCAGGAGGCAGGTGCCCACCTGAGCCGGCACATGCACTCTTAGCTTCCTTACCTTTGAGAAGTCTGGCTCTACAGACAACAGCATACATGGCAGAAACCTGTTAGTGGCTCCCTTCCCCTAGGTAAGACCTAGACTACGTACACTAGTCTCCTTCACTGCTAAGTAGCATCATACTGTTGAGGACTAGATGTAAAATGTAGACACAAGTAATCAATGCTTTACTACTCCTGGTCCCCCTGGTATCTTTCTGTGCATACTGGTTGAAAAAGACCCATGAAAAGATTCCAACATCCAGGTTGTATTGGAACTGCAAGACGGAAGAAAAGAGAACTTCCAAACTGTTGTTTGCTAGACAGTCACCTGAAGACATGGCGAGCCAGAAACACTGCCTTTGACTTGTGTGCAAACAGGAAACTTTCATGGCATCAAGGCATTATTGACAGTTTCTAAGTGCGATAACTGGGCTCTCCTGGACAATGCATTGTGTCGGTACCACAGTTTGATGATGTCTTTAAAATGATGGCTTTATCCTGGAATCCCCTAATCCTTTCGTAGTATATCCTCACTGGAAAGAGATATTTAATTAGCCTACATGGGTGCACTGGCTCATTAGCATACCACTATACCTGATTAGTACACTTGACAGTCAGCATTCTTGCTTAATCTCTGTGTTTGGTTTAGGTGAATAAATCCCCCAAGACTTGATTGATGGGGGCTGAGCTGACAAACTGGGGTTCTGAACCAGCACAACTCATCCCACATTTGTACGTTACACAAGACGCACGGTGAAAACGTGGAGAAAGTCCTTCCCACTTTGACACATAGAAAGTTATGTGCTTGTCATCTTTTGGATAATAAATATTTAGACATACCCACTTGAAACATTTTAGTAAATTCTATTTCCACGATACTGGAATTTGCTCATTTAAATTCTTACAGTCCAGACATGAAAGTCATAAAAATCATCATCCCCAAATCTACAGCTACCCTAGGTCTTAGACCCTCTTGTAAATCCTACATCTGGAGTAATACCTTTTTTAAAAAATGTTTATTTATTATGTTTACAGTGTTCT